TCTCTTTGAAACTCCTCATTTTTGTGATGTTGTTTCTCTCATTCAGTTCTCCCAGAGCAGTATAGCAGCCTGACTTTTCCCTTGTGTGCTACTCACAAGAGTTCATTTTCTTTCTTTCCATAGTATAAGCTCTATGAGGTCAGACTGTCTTGTCCACTCCTCTATGCTTAGTACCATGCCTATAGGTAATTAATAAAATATTTATTAAATGATTTTTTTCCATCACCGAATGTGATAGCTCTTCGAGTTCTGTTGTTGGTCCTATTTTGCTATTTCTTACTTGCTTTTCCATTGATACCATGCCTTTTACTAGTCTCTATTCCGTGCTCATTCCATCCTTTTCATTTTGACTAGCATCACTGCATTTCAGCCCCCCTTCTTTGTTCCAAGTTGATTTATTATGAAAAAGTATTTTCAATTTATTTCTAAATGGAAAAGTAGATTACCAAGAGGCATATTAAGTAGTTAAATAGGAACAGCAAGGCCACCATTGGTATTTACTACTTCTTGCTTATTTCTTACATAGATGTACTTGGTCTCTTAAGTTTTCCCTGCTTTCAGCTTTTGTTCCTCCATTCTCTCCTTCATGCTATGACCAAAGCAATGTACTTAAATCAGTTGTCTGATCAGGTGATAGTTTTCTCTTGCCATATAGAATAAAATTTCGGAATTGGCCTTTTGTTGTTGTTCTGTGAAGTCAAGAAGGTTTCACCTTTGAAAAGGAAACATTTTTCAACTTTAGAGCTATTAGAAATGGTACTAAACAGTTTCACTAGGTGTTGAGTTTCCCCTTCACTGGTAGGGATATATTAGAATACTGAGCAGCTCTCAAATGGGACCGGTTATTGGAGCTTTTTGAAGCACACTCCAGGCCTTTGATTGTATCTTTCAGACAACATAGATCTTCCACAGTCTGGCATAGATAAATTTTTAATAATTAGGTTTGGTGACCAGAAGTGAAGTGAAGTGTTGAGAGTATAGATAAAAACAGTTTTGTTTTGTTTTTGCTATACAGTACACTTTTTCCTATTGCTCCTGCTAAGTCCAACTGAGAACCCTGGACATTATATATAAACAAACATAAGAAAATTCTAAAAGGTGGAGAGAAAGCAGACTGGCTAGGAACCTTGAAATCCAAGGAATGACTTAATGTTAAGTCCCCTGGGTTTCCTTTTGCCTCATATGTTCCAGACTTGGAGCTGAAAACACTGGCAATCTGAAAACACCCAAAGAAAGCCCCAACAAAAGCCTGTTCTTTGTAGTCAAAAGATCAGGAAAGGAACAGCCCAGTTAGGCAGAAAAATTTTAGATAAAATACCCTCTACTTCAGCCAAACAGCACAGAAAAACTGTGCCTCCACCATTCATGTGGAAAAGGCTGCATTGGAACCTTGACTTCCATCCTCATCAGGCTTTAAAAGGGCACACCCAACTCCTCTGCCAGTATGGTATTGGAGTATGCGAAGTAGGGAGTCTTGAGTTCCATCCCTGTGGAACTGATTGTGATCCAACAGCACAGAAAAACTGTGCCTCCAGCATTCATGTGGAAAAGGCTGCATTGGAACCTTGACTTCCATCCTCATCAGGCTTTAAAAGGGCACACCCAACTCCTCTGCCAGTGTGGTATTGGAGTATGCGAAGTAGGGAGTCTTGAGTTCCATCCCTGTGGAACTGATTGTGATCCCCCAACCCAGGAGGCTGTGGAGACCACATAGGGAGTCTGAACTTCCACTGACATTAGCTATGTGCCCTTTTCCTTCCCCACCATGGTGATGTCAGAGGAGGTTTAGTAGAGAGTCAGGATTTTTATCAGTGCCCAGCAGTAATGTGGCACTACCATCTATGGTGTTAGTGGAGGCCACATGGGGAGTGGTAATGAGGCACTCCTACCCCTCTCAGCCAGGAGGTATCTGTGGAGGTCTGGTGGGTTGGTAGGTCTCCTATCCAGCAATAATGATAAGCTTCCATCCCCCATCCCAATTGGGTATCAAATTTGAGTAACAAATTTGGTTTTCTACCACTACTTGTCACTAACAATGCAGCATACCCCATTCCTCTGCTTTTTAAAGGTAATTTGTATTATTTACATTGTGTAATTATAATGTAAATAATTATATATTAAAATATATAGAAATTGTATATATGGTGTAAATGATTTTTTTTAATGATTAGGGACTGCATCTTGCATATAGGAGGTGTTAAACACAAATTTGTTCAGTGAATATTTAACTTCTGAGCACTTTTTTGAGTAGTTGGCACGGGGTTCTTTATTTCCACTTTAAACTTGGTTTTGTGATGTGGGGATATTGGATTTAGATTCAGAGTCCTGGGATCAGGTCATGGGCATCTGCATGTGTGATCTTGGACATGTTATTTATCATCTCTGATCTTACTTTTACATCTATAAAATTGGAATGGCAGTTACTGTAAAGTAAGTTATTGTTAGGACTAAATGCATGTGGAAAATGTTTTATAATACGAAAATGCTTTACAAGTAGTCGAAGTTATTCAAAATTAATGGCTTTTGTTTAACGTAATACAGGTGTGTCACTATTATTATTTCACTTTGTGATTAGAGTCATTTTTTAGCTTAGCAAAGAAAAGAAATAGTTGCTTTCTCTTAAAAAGCAACACATTTCCTCAACTCTGGGTATCTCTTCTATCTTAGTTTTTGTGTCAGATTTGGACAAAGATTCCCAGAGTTCTTCTAAATACCAAAAGTACCACTGGAAAATTAAGTAATNACAACATAGATCTTCCACAGTCTGGCATAGATAAATTTTTAATAATTAGGTTTGGTGACCAGAAGTGAAGTGAAGTGTTGAGAGTATAGATAAAAACAGTTTTGTTTTGTTTTTGCTATACAGTACACTTTTTCCTATTGCTCCTGCTAAGTCCAACTGAGAACCCTGGACATTATATATAAACAAACATAAGAAAATTCTAAAAGGTGGAGAGAAAGCAGACTGGCTAGGAACCTTGAAATCCAAGGAATGACTTAATGTTAAGTCCCCTGGGTTTCCTTTTTGCCTCATATGTTCCAGACTTGGAGCTGAAAACACTGGCAATCTGAAAACACCCAAAGAAAGCCCCAACAAAAGCCTGTTCTTTGTAGTCAAAAGATCAGGAAAGGAACAGCCCAGTTAGGCAGAAAAATTTTAGATAAAATACCCTCTACTTCAGCCCAACAGCACAGAAAAACTGTGCCTCCAGCATTCATGTGGAAAAGGCTGCATTGGAACCTTGACTTCCATCCTCATCAGGCTTTAAAAGGGCACACCCAACTCCTCTGCCAGTGTGGTATTGGAGTATGCGAAGTAGGGAGTCTTGAGTTCCATCCCTGTGGAACTGATTGTGATCCCCCAACCCAGGAGGCTGTGGAGACCACATAGGGAGTCTGAACTTCCACTGACATTAGCTATGTGCCCTTTTCCTTCCCCACCATGGTGATGTCAGAGGAGGTTTAGTAGAGAGTCAGGATTTTTATCAGTGCCCAGCAGTAATGTGGCACTACCATCTATGGTGTTAGTGGAGGCCACATGGGGAGTGGTAATGAGGCACTCCTACCCCTCTCAGCCAGGAGGTATCTGTGGAGGTCTGGTGGGTTGGTAGGTCTCCTATCCAGCAATAATGATAAGCTTCCATCCCCCATCCCAATTGGGTATCAAATTTGAGTAACAAATTTGGTTTTCTACCACTACTTGTCACTAACAATGCAGCATACCCCATTCCTCTGCTTTTTAAAGGTAATTTGTATTATTTACATTGTGTAATTATAATGTAAATAATTATATATTAAAATATATAGAAATTGTATATATGGTGTAAATGATTTTTTTTAATGATTAGGGACTGCATCTTGCATATAGGAGGTGTTAAACACAAATTTGTTCAGTGAATATTTAACTTCTGAGCACTTTTTTGAGTAGTTGGCACGGGGTTCTTTATTTCCACTTTAAACTTGGTTTTGTGATGTGGGGATATTGGATTTAGATTCAGAGTCCTGGGATCAGGTCATGGGCATCTGCATGTGTGATCTTGGACATGTTATTTATCATCTCTGATCTTACTTTTACATCTATAAAATTGGAATGGCAGTTACTGTAAAGTAAGTTATTGTTAGGACTAAATGCATGTGGAAAATGTTTTATAATACGAAAATGCTTTACAAGTAGTCGAAGTTATTCAAAATTAATGGCTTTTGTTTAACGTAATACAGGTGTGTCACTATTATTATTTCACTTTGTGATTAGAGTCATTTTTTAGCTTAGCAAAGAAAAGAAATAGTTGCTTTCTCTTAAAAAGCAACACATTTCCTCAACTCTGGGTATCTCTTCTATCTTAGTTTTTGTGTCAGATTTGGACAAAGATTCCCAGAGTTCTTCTAAATACCAAAAGTACCACTGGAAAATTAAGTAATATGTATTTCCCAAATGAATCACATTTGGTAGAATTTTTTTGATTTTAAGATTTGTCTTAAATCTCTGGTGCTTGTTTTGTTTTTGTTGTTTTCAGGTGACAAAATCAGTGAACAAGTAGCAAAAAGAGTTTAATGAAAATATTAAAAACCTTAATTTTTTATTCTTAATTTTTAAGTTTGATTCTGTACACATGCTTACACATCTACATTTCATGATTGTAATTTTATGTTACATGTAAATGCTGTAATTGTGTATCTTGCTGATACTTTTTCCTGGATTTTACTTAATGGAATTAAATACATCATTATTCCGTGGTACTTCTTGGCAAGCTCTATGAGTTCAAGTTAAGTGGGTTCTTAAATCACTGCTTTGTGAAGTAGTACGTAACCAGGTTATCTGTAAGAAAGGTCAGTTCTTGAGTCTGTGGAGGAAAAGATAGATGTTTCCCTGACCAGTAAAGGATATTAACAAATCAGCTTTTCATAAGATAGGAACTCTATAATTTGGAATGGAAAATTATTGCTACTTGTTATTTCCCCTTAATGTAGTAAATCTCTGTTCCTTCTTCCCTTTTCACTAGGTCAGTGTATGTTTTGTGTCCTATTTTATCACACACAAAAAAAGAGAAGAAATACTGCAGTGAATGAAGATTCCTCTGCATTTTAGCGCTGCTTTTTCTGCTGTAGTTGGCTTTTGAATGAGGATGACAATGGAAGAGATGAAGAATGAAGCTGAGACCACTTCCATGGTTTCTATGCCCCTCTATGCAGTCATGTATCCTGTGTTTAATGAGGTAAATGGGTAAACATTTCCTCATATGATTTCTGCAGTTTCTTAATGCCTGTTTCATTTATTCATCTGTGTATTCTTTCATATAACAAATACTTGCATAAAAATCCTTCTTCTATGTGTTAGGCATTGTGTCAGGGCATAAAATAGTGAAAACAAAACCAAACAGATATGCATGCCTCTCCCTTTTGGTGGTTATACTATAGAGGGAGAGATAGTCATTGAATAAGAGTACAAATAATTATATAAATGAAAAATTGGGATAAATGCTGTGAAGTTAAAAAAAAGTTCATTGAGAAAGAAAATAGCAAGCGTAACTCATTTTAGGGGTCAGAACAGGCTTTACTGAAGAAGAGACATATATCCTAAGGTCTGAAAGAGATAAATAGAGTTAGACAGTTGAAGATTTAGAGTAGTGCATTCCAGGAGGCCAGAATAGCAGGCACAAAGATCCTGATAAGGTACTGTCAGTAGTGACAAAACATTTCTTTTTACTGATATTTGGAAGATACTTTTTTCTGTATGGAGGAGACATGGTTGCTTTTTTATTTGAGGAATTGTTTTAGACTTAATGTCAATATATTTTTGGATTTAGCAGGCACAAAGATCCTGATAAGGTACTGTCAGTAGTGACAAAACATTTCTTTTTACTGATTTTTGGAAGATACTTTTTTCTGTATGGAGGAGACATGGTTGCTTTTTTATTTGAGGAATTGTTTTAGACTTAATGTCAATATATTTTTGGATTTTCTTTTAAATTAATGATCTTTTAATCCAGCTCTAGAATTCTCTACATTCTTCCATATATGCATATATTAAATAATGATGTTAATATTAATATTGAATATTCCGAAGTATGTAGAGAATTCTAGAGCTGTATGTCCCTTAGAGATCATTTAATTAATCCCCCTCCTTCTAATGGTGAACTGAGGCCCTGATTTATGAATTTTTTTTCTAAAATTACCTAGGATTAAAATCAAATTTAGGTCTCCTGACTCCAGATTCAGTGGCTACAGCCTTTTTTAAAATTTAATAATTACTTTTTTGCGATTAATTTAATTAGCCTTCAACACCATTAACCTTATTGTTTCTAATACAGCCTGGAAATCCTCATCATTTCCTTTTTATACCTTTTTGTAAAATTTTCTTATCAGAGTAAGATTCTGGGTTTCAAAACCATTTTCCCCACATTATTGAGTTTAACTGCAGTTGATATATTTTATGATCCCAAGTCTTGGGGGCAGTAGAGAGTGATACATTTATAGTCTGACATGAAAACCACAGACTTAGTTGCCAGTTCAGACATAAATTTTGAAATTTCAGACACTGTCAAGTAATGTTCAGTTCAATGATCATAAAAGAAAATTCAGAACAGTGGCTTAAGTAGAAGTTTATTTCTCTGTTACAAGATTCTACAGGCAAGCAGTGCAGGGCTAGTATTTTTATGACTCAGTATCATCTGGAACTCAAGTTCTTCTCTCCTGCTCCACCGTCCTAGCGCTTGGCTTCATTATCAAGGTCACCTCAGTAAGCAAGATAGCTGCTGAAGTTTCATTCATCATGTCCTGATTTGTCTGTAAGGGGAAAAAGTGGGGCAGAGCGTGGGATCCAGCTTCCAGCTGAGTTTGCTTCTTTAAAGTAGCCCTTTTTGAAAGGCCTACTTAAGACTTCCATTTACATCTCATTGGCAAGAACTTAGTCTTGTGACCAAACATTAGTTGCAAAGGAGGTTGGGAAATTTAGGAGTTTTGTTACTAAAGAGGAAGCATCTTTTGAAAGACCTGTTTCTGTTGTACTGCTAACACAGTAGTATTGGAGGCACCTATTAGGGTTGGTTATGCCCACCCATGGCAGCTATAGCCAGTTCTACATTAATTAATTCCACCATTTTTGTTCTAATACTTTACCTGTTTATTGCAAGTAGCTATTGTTAGAGACTGGTACTTCAGTTTTGTTCAGTAAATGTTTCCTGAATGCCAGCCATTTCTTTGCTATGTACTCCGCTAGGGTCTTGGAGGTGTGAAGAAGAAAATGGCAACATGCCTGTTTTCAACAATCTATTAGGAGACACAGATATTTAAGCAGATAAATTAATTGTCCTCGCACCAGTAATGAGGTGAGGAGACAGTCACTGAAAACTGAGTAATCCATCTTAGAATTTCTCAGATATTCCAAGAACCATTATCATCACAGTTCCACCCAGATGTGTTCCCTGTTTTCACGTCCATATACCTAACTCAGTAGGCTGGTGGGCAAAGTTGTTTGGGAGAAATATGAATTTATCTGGTATTTTGAGACTTTACTTGAAGGGAGGAAATTTTACTTTGCAGAGCTTCAGTTTGATCGTCTAGTTAATGAAGGGAAATGAGAAAAGCTTTTATTCACAGTGGTTTTTTCCCCTACATATGAAAAATGGCTATTTGAATCTTAACTTTGAAAAAGAGTCACATAGATGTAGGATTCTGGTAAAATGAACTGTTAGAGTTAATATTGATAGACATTGTCTAATTTTATTCATGTGTGAGGGAAATTAACTTGCAATAAAAAGAAGTGGCTGTGAATGAACTAGTAAATATCTCCATAAGTAAAAGCAGTGATTCTCTCCAGAGGAAATCTGAAAACATATGTAGGTTAATGGGCCCAGAATTAGAATATGTTGCCAAATGACTCACAGTTGGTCCAAGAACTGATTGTTAGAAGGAAAGTTTGGTAATGAAATGGCTGAATGTGGCATGCTGAGAGATACTACAGCAAATTGGCAGAGTCTAATTCTCAAGTTGAATTTACAGATCTAGCATCATGCTATCATGCTTTTAAAGACTTATCTCTGTCATGTATTTGAAAACATGTTCAGATCTACAGGGTTTTAGGAATAGTGATGGTAGTTAGTAGGTTTCCTCTTTGATAGAGATGAAATCTAGAGCTTGATTTAGGATTGGAGTAAAATAATTATTGTGCCTTCAGATGTGAAGTGTTTGGTTAAAAAGGATAAAATAGTAGCATTGTTCTCTGGCACTGCAGTGTGTAAGCCTAACATCTAAATAAGATAACCTCATCAGTTAAACATTAATATTTAATTGTAGTTCAACCACGAATTTTTCTATAAATCTACTAATGGGAAAATTGTAGTTTAGTTTGGCTCTGTTTTTCTGTGCTGTGAAGATTTAAAGATGAAAATGATTGTCAAATTAACCTTCTGGAAAATAGTACCAGGTTGGATGAATGTTTTACTCTGAAAATAAATGATTCACTGAATCTTCTTCACAATGAATTCTAAGAGTTGAAAAGCTTACTCATTCTCACCTTAACATTAGATTCATAATAGCTACAATGGTAGTCTAGAAATCATCTTTTAAAAGATTTTTAGATAGTAGGACATCTTTACACCTGGGGAAATTTTAGTATGGTTACTCCAGCTTACAAGGCAAAGGTATTTATGTCATTCTGGGAGCTTGATGCTGGCTAGACCTAATAAAGCTATGCCAAGACAGCTGAGAAAGAGTAAGTTTCTTGTTTAATCAGCTGCTGTGGAGTACTGTGGAGTTCAGAGTCCAAGTATATCGCATGTGTTGTAAATGTACTGTGAAATGGAATAATGGGTTTCTAGAAACCTCATTCCAAGTCTTAGATCAGTTCTCAATGTGACTGTATTATTTCTTAATGATTCTTTGTATATGGAAGAGAAGAGAGTTATGGTTCAGTTCTTCATTTCAGGAAGAAATAAGCCATGTGTCCTCTTTTTCTTATGACTTTTTAGAGACATTATTTTAAGATGAAATATTTCTGAAGAAATATGTGTTGTATTTTGAGAAATAAACTATTTTGAGACTTAATGTGAATTTTAGATCATACAGGGTTTGTATGTTTGTTTATTAATAAATCACACAAAAATGTATTTGTAAATAAGTAACTAGTATTCCGTTCAGAGGCATCTGATTCAGTTATTTCTGCCAACTCTTGGCAGATATGCAACTCTTAATTTTTTCCTAGTAAGCAAAAGTGACTTGGGAATACTTCTCTAAGTTTACCGACCTACTTCTTATTGTTTTTTCCTCTTGGGAAGAAAAATCAGACTTTAAACTTTGAGCATTATAAACATACTTCTCCACAATGAAGGTAAGGATTTTACCTGCAGTCCCACCATTCAGAGGTGAATATAGTTAACATCTTGTATTTGAATTATTGCTCTGCAACTTACTAAGCTGCATAAATATTGTCTCAGTTTCTTTATCTGTAAAATGGGGATAAAAAATAGTGTCCTTGATTCTCACAACTCTGAAATAAATGAGTTAATGTGTTGTAAAGTATTTAGAGTAGTACAGGGCATGTAGTGTTAGCTACTGTTATTAAGGAGTCTTTTACATATACTTTCTGACAAAATTGTGATCATACCCTAGAGTTTTATATACTTGCAGGCAGTGCTTTAGTGGAAAATTTTTATACTAGTTAGCTGGCTCTGCTTATCGTTTTTGCCAGACAACTTGGCAACCCCAGGAGCTGATTCTTTTAGAAACATTTACTGAACTTAAAATGTAGGAAACACAACTGATTGCATTTGCTTTCTCTGTGGCAGCTCAATAGTTAAAAGGAGACTTCTTGATTCCATCTACTTCTGTTCTTCTGGCATGCTTATTTTTTGACCTGACTCACCCTCACTTTGATTTCAATCACAAGAGATGTACCTGGAGTTTTTACTCTTGTCATTTGGCCCAGTTTAATTCCATTTAAGAAGTAGGATCAATAATCTTTGCAGAGGGTGGGTAAGGAGATGGTGTCAACATGGAAAAATCAAATCTTGCCTGATTTTGAGTAAGCAAGTAGATTTATAGACAATTTGGAACCTGTTAACTTAAATCATTTTAGCCTTTAGAAAAACAGCTTTCACAAGAGTTTATGTAAGAAGACTTTAAAATTTGAGCAACTGGAGGGCTAAATGGATTTTTTTTTCTTTTAATTATTAGTTTAGTAAACTAGCTTGATGCTAGAAAAGTGTGGGAATGAACTGATGCTTTTAGATGGAGCAGTGTAATAAATGAGCTCTGTACAGAGTCAAAATTATGTGTAAGCTTTTAATGTATTTTTATAAATGAACCAAAGAGTGTAAATTTGATGTTTGCAGTTGACAGTAAGTGTTCTGAAAAGCAATCAGGAATAAGTTGTAGAAGGACCTCACAAAACTGAGAGTAGGTTGGGAGAATGTGGGTTCGAGGTGAGACCCAATGTTATGCCTACCCAGCCTGTCTGTTCCCTCCAAATGTGCTTCACCAGGCACTTTTTCTTCTCTTTTATGTGAGATGAGGTGTTATGTACCCTTTTCTCTCACTCTGATTCTCTTTTCCCTCACTATTTCACTGGTGACATGGAAGTCCTGTATGGCTGAGGCCCAAGCAGTACCTTTCCCTGTCCTGGTATCTGTTAATGCAAAGTGTAGTTGTGTGTTCCTTCTCTGTTTATCCAAAATATGGTGTATGTGCTATCAGTCACTACTAAGAAAATTACTGCGTTGGTCCTTTAAAGACTTCTTTGCACATGGTAGAAACTCAAAAATGTGTTGGTTCTTAAAGAACCAGCAGCTGAAGAGATTCAATGATAGGGTAGGCTCCAGTTTGGAAAGAGTGAGTACAGGGTAGTATTAATGGCTTGTGTGCAGGTTTTGGAGCCAAACAGTTCTGGTATGAATCCTGTCTCTGCACCTAGATAGCTATGTAACAGGGTAAATTTATACAAACTGAGTTTCTTCTTCTGTAAAATAGAGATGATGATAGCTGATTACAGACTTATTGTGAGGATTAGAGATATTCTATATAAAGATACTTTATATAAATATAAAGTCCACAATAGATGCTTAGTAAATGGTAGCTGTTATTGGTATATTATCAGAACCTGCTACTGTCATGAAAGGTACTGATTTATCAAATCATATATCACAAGTGAAGGGACTAAAAGAGAAGAGAAGCACTTTTGAATAGGGGAGATAACATATCTCGCTACCTAGGTAGTGCAGACTCAATTATAAATTTAAGAACGACTTAGATAAATTTATGGATGAGAGATTGACTTCAGTTCAAACAGTAGGTATGTGCCTATGTGTCTAATACTGTCCTGGACAGTGTGGATGTCATATTTATAAGGAAGCCTGTTGGGTTTATTGTAAAATGTGTGGGTTATAATATATCCCAAAATAACTCAAAGCAGAGTTCTGGTGAGGTGCTTCATAGCTCACAGGTTTTTGATTTAGTATGGTATATCTGACCTTCTGTGACTTCCCCTTTTTTTGGTAAGGTACATGCATGTAAACTTAATCTAGAAATCTAGGTATGTGGATGTCTGTCTTGAATAATTTTATTAGCTCTTCACTAACTTTTCTAAGCCTCTTTTACTTGTCTCGACTCTTTCACATACCAGTGAGGGCAGTGCAGAATGAGTTAATAATGTTGATATTTGAAAAGGCCCACATCTGACTTAGACTTTTGACTGTTAAAAGAGGTCAGAGAGGCGATATAAACCCAAATAAGGAAATGGGTTCCTATCAGGATGGAAACATTCATCCTGTCTCTGCTTTTCTTACTCAACAAGAACTTGAGATCTAATGAGCCATATTGTCATTTTAATCTTTAGTAGTATTCATTATAATTACATGAATTACATGAAAGTACAAAACCTTTTTCAATTTTAGAAGCATACCTTTGTTAATTTTACACACTAGTTATATATTACTTCTTTGCTATATTTACTAACTAGGCCCCTTATGCCTTCACTTTTACCTACTGAGCAATATTAGGTTTCACAAGATATGTAGAAGCCAAGTTAAATACTAAATTATATGGTTCATTGTTTTTTAGGAAATAAATTACTTATCTGGGCAGATTTTGTTGCTTTTGCTTTGTGATTCAGGTGAATAAGTTGTAGGGCATTTCTAACTGTCTTGTTTAGAAAATCAGTGGATTTGAAGATCCCCTGGCGGGTGTGTGTGTGTGTGTGCACACGCTGTGTGTGTGTGTATGTGTGCCCTGTGTGTGTGTGTGTGTGCCCTGTGTGTGGGTGTGCCCTCTGTGTGTGTGTGCATGTTTAGAAAATCAGTGGATTTGAAGATCCCCTGGCGGGTGTGTGTGTGTGTGTGCACACGCCGTGTGTGTGTGTATGTGTGCCCTGTGTGTGTGTGTGTGTGCCCTGTGTGTGGGTGTGCCCTCTGTGTGTGTGTGTGTGCGCCCTGGCGTGTGTGTGTGTGTGTGTACTTAAAAAGTAGAATTAAAAAATAATACAGATCTTTTCCATGAGCTTTTTAAAGTACCCTCATATGTGTCATTTATAAAGCAAAACTTAAACTTTTATTGCCTTAGGGATTGAAAGCACTATTTATTGCATAATATGATCTATATTCATAAGGTATTCATAGAAATATTCTGCTTGGATAAAAATCTATAAAGGTTAATTGTTTTCCAACATTTAATACTGTCCCAAATAAAATATATATATACAATTGAGGTTTATTGAGTTCACTAGGGACTGAAAAAAATTGAATTTAACTGAATTTAGTTATTTTCAGCCTGACAGTTAACTCTTGAAATGGAGTTATTTTTATGAAATTCTCTGCCTTCTTTGGTTCACTGAAAAATGAATTATATATAGTGTATAATAAGGAAATATATCTTTTGAAATTCGATTTAAAATATTAAAAGCATTTGGATTGAACTTTCAGTTTGGTAGTTTAGGTAACCATTTCTTAATCCTGATGAAATAGATGACAGATATAAGCATCTCTGAAATCCAAATAATTGACAATCTTCAATTTGAGTATCAAACAAACCTTTTATCAGCACTATTTGCTGATTAATAAAATAGACTAATCTCAGTTTGATTCCTGGCTGAGAGATTGAAAAGCAATTAAAAAGGAGTAAGGTGGTAAATAGAATCTAAATAATAAATGTTTCCTGTGTTGTTCATTTTATGTTCATCACACACACACACTCACACATGCTGTCTATTTGCCCAGCAAAACTATAGTTGTGGCGACAGCACGTTGAGAGTTTAACCTTGAACCCTCCCTGTTTTCAATAATTCAAGTAAATGTGTTTATTTTTTCTATAAGGACTTATATTATTTTGCATTCTGTACTTATCTGAAATCTAATTTTAAGGTAGGATATATCTTATTTGTTAAAAAAAGGAATAAAGAATGAATATGTAATTTTTCATGGTTTCCATTGAAAATTTTACATAGCCTATTTGAAGAATTATGGTGATTTAGAATTATTAACAAGTATTTTTGTTAATTAAATGATGGGTATATCAATACGATTACTACAGAATGGAATAACAGAAATAAGCTTTTCCCCCCAAAATTCGTATTAATAATGTTGTTATTTTAAATTTTTATTTCAGCTAGAACGAGTAAATTTGTCTGCAGCTCAGACACTGAGAGCCGCTTTCATTAAGGTGAGGTGGAAATAATTTATTATAATGATTAAAGTATATGTTATATTTAAATCTAGATACCATGTGATGGTTGCCAGTTTATTTTCTTTTAGTGTAAACCTTTTTAGCCATCTATTCCTGTTCTATAATACTCTGTAAAGGTTAAATAAAACACTTTCACAAGGTGAACAGGAACAAATTCTGTTTCCTTTAGTATTTATCTTTTTTGTTACTTCCTGCTTTTGAAACTGACTTCAGTGTGTCTGTATTTATCTTTGAAGTATATTTTTTAATTCTTTTTCCCTTCTGTTTGTTTTTCCCTCCTACTTTTGACTTGTTAAAAACTTAATTTGTAGAATTACAACTTGAAAAGGTGTTCTTCATATTGTTTAATTATAGAACATAAGTATTAAAAAAATAATGTTTTTGAATGAGAAAATAATACTGCTATATGTGATGGACAGGGCTTTGGAGTATAAAGGTAAGTCATGCAAAACGGATTTTTTTTTTTTTTTTTCCTTTTTTTTGTCTTTTTTCGTGTCCGGCAACGGAT